AAAAATATTTTCAAATAGTATATTTTCCAACACATCTTACTTGATAAAAAAAATAATAAATTGATTACTTGATTTTCAATGGTTGTTTAATATTTAATTAATTATTTAATTTATTTTTTTGCAGTTTTAATTTATTGTTTTGAGGCTTAAAACACTATAATAAATGACTACACTGCTACACTGATTTGTTTTTTTTTTTTTGTATTGTTTTTGGTCCTAAAATCTTCAAATTCTCAAATTGAGAAGCCTTTTCTAGACAAGCCCAAATTCTTGTCTTGTTTTCAGAAATAATGACCTAAAATGAACTAAGCTTTTCCCTAAAACAAGCAAAATAATCTGTCAGTGGTGTAAGTGAAATAATATTGCTTCTTCTTTTGACATTAGATTGTTTTGCTTACACCTTTAACTGATTTTTTTGCTAATTTTAAAGGAAAAATTATTTAATTTTGAATTATTATTTCTTAAAAAAAAAAATATTTCCTTCGCTAGAAAATGTTTCTCGATTTAAATATTTTTGCATATTTGAACTAGAAACAAGACTGAAGATCTGAGGAAATAAAAGCATGTTCATAAAGCAAATAATACAAAAATATAGTTAGAGTTGCTCAAATGTATGCATGAACCTTGAAAATTAGGAATATATAAACAATTTATAAATATATTCCAATATATTTTCACATCAAACATTTGCACTGAAATGTATTAACTTTAGTCATAAACATCTTAATATTTACCTGTTATTGAACACTTTTCTGTCATTTCTTTCTTCTCCTCCGGGATCAAACTAACTTTAAATGTTCTGCTAATTTCACTTCCCCCCGAAGAGCTTTTTTCTCCATCATTTTCTGCAGTTTGCTCTTTCTGCTCACTCTTATCATTGTTTTCATCCTCTCCGACATGCAGATCTAACCTGTTCTCCTCTTTCTTCTGCTCGACTTGTACATGTTGTATCTTCACCTCATCTTCACCATTCTCCAAGCAGATCTCTTTAACGTAATGCTCTCTTCTGTTCTTCCTCACCACCTCCTCGATGTTCTCCATCAAGCTGGCGATCTGCTTTTTATCCCTCTTATTCCTATGAATAATAACGTGACATTTCTCCTCAAAGAAGCTCAGCAGTTCTCTAGTCTTTCTGCTCAGCCTGAACTCGATCCACTCTCGTTTCGACATCGCTTCTTTTCCGATGAACAGCACCATCGTGAACCTGAACGCTGATCTCCCGAAGTGCTGGTGGATGGTTTTGACAGTGTTTGCCACGTTGTCTGTGAAGTTCTCCAGGTTGATGATGAGCAGAAACACATGAGGTCCAGGAGAACAGAGATCCAGGCTCTTCTTCATCTGCATCTGCAGCTCTTCATCAGTCAGGTGAGTGTTGAAGAATCCTGGAGTGTCGATGATGGAGATGTTTCTGGCTTCTACTCTTCCTCTCTGTATCTCACTCTCTCTCGTTCTGCTCTCTTTAAACACCTCTTCACCCAGTATTGCGTTTCCTATTGTGGTCTTTCCAGCTCCGCTTCTTCCAATCAGCATAATCCTCAGCTCCAGGAAAGCAAGAGCTTCGTCAGACTCTGGGAGAGTACAAAGGAAATCAAAACTTAACCCTATTGATTTTGTTAGCTCAAATTGTTAGATTTGTGGTCAACTATTCATCTGAGCGTGTCATAAGGACAAATACTTTGCCTTGTTATCTTTAATAAAATCTCAAAATGCACTTGTTTGGTTTCAGTCAAATTTCTTAGATTTGGTCTGAGGTATTGGGCGTGGCTAGTATACTTAACCACACCCCTCCAGCTGTCAGTTTTGATATTGCTATGACAACAAGCACAAATGATTAGGAGGAGGAGTCTGTTAGGTTATATTAACTCTTCTAAAAAAAACATCTTTCTGAATGACACGCCTACTTTACTACCACGCCACGCCCACTATTTTTTCTCATTTAAAATCCTGTTTCTCAATGAACAGTCACAATATGAAAAAAGTTCAAGCTTCCAGTTCATGCAGACTTTAATGTCAGCTTTTAATGTTAAAACATTACAAAATCCCAATTGAAAGCAAAAGGAGATTGATCTTTCTGAAATGGATTTGTTTATTTGTAGCTAAAAATGTAATAGGAACTAACAGAAGAGAAAGCCCTTATATCCGTGCTAGTTTTGGAAATATGCACTAGTTTCTTTTAAAGTGGTCATGAATAGACCCAGCAGGGACACAACATCATAAGACATTAATATTAGGTTAGGTTTAGTTCATGATGTCAGATGACCAAAATCCAATGTCTAGCCTAACGACAACGTTATTTTGACATCCGAAAATTACATCAAATTATGATGATCTTAGGTTGTGTTGGAAAGTGACCAAACCCAACATCTGATAGATGTCATAGTGGTGATGTCTACACAACATCAAGGTGTCATTCTTCTTTGGCTCTCACGAAGGCGGTCACACTTTTTCCCTCTCCATCCATCTCTCCTTGCTAGCTCCATTTGTCTTAATCTATCTCTGAGCCTCTCCGTGCCCTGCTATCCAAACGAGTAAGGAATTATGGATTTGATTAACTGCTCTCTGAATGCAATTGACGCCATCTTCTCAACAAGAAGTTTGGGCTCAGGAGAGCCCACTTGTCCTGCGGGGACGTTTGCAGGTGGATACGTGATGGACGGGTGGGAGAAGTTGCGCGTCCAGTGCCTGGCTGCTCTGCCTCTGGAGGATATTGAAGATATTTACCTATTCAGAACTTTGATAAAAGGGTTTCTGCTGATGGGCTAATGCGGGGCCCTGGGATATCGACGATTGATGAAAGATGCTCAGATTATGGTCCTAGACCCCAAATCGGTCAATATTACTATATGAAAGTGTATGTGGCAAATAAAGGCCTGATTTTTAACATAATTAGACGTTGAGAAATGGGTTGATTTTAGGTTGGACATTGATGTTGGCCAGGCATTGGATTTTAACTTCAACCCAATTTTCATTTCCAAACAAAATCCAACGTCCCTACGATATTGGGGTACAACATCAATACGACATCATGTTGACGTCCTGTGCCTGCAGGGGAGAAAACAAATTTCCGTAGGTCCTTTTAACACATACAAACTTATAGTTCAATTAAAAAAAAATTATAATAATAATTGTGGTTCCCTAAATTCAGCTTATATTGAAGGCAGCCTGACTAAACCACAGCTTCTGGAGTGTAAGTGTAAAAAAGCCTCGCCCCCATGGAAGATTGACGCCCACTTCTACTTCACTGCCTATTTAAGGAACTGATCACACCAAACACAATTTTAACTTTCCAAAAACGCAAGGCGCACCACACTGCCATTTTTGTTGACAAGAAAAAAGAAGTGCGGGCCGCGCTTTTTATGATTTATTACTAAATCAGCTGCGTATTGTGTGCAAGTGTTGCTCTTGATATGCTTAAAATTGTAATATTTAATAGCCTTCAAGATTTGTACAGTCATACAGTTCTGGATAACACAAACACTGCTGTCACCTCAGTGGAAACCCCGCCTCTGCTTTTATGTGATTGAAGAATGTAAAAGATGCGACCGACGTAATGCACAAAAATGTGAGTTGCAGCAGGCGGTTAAAACGCAAGGCTCGCAGGGTGCATAGGCAGCACACAAAACATTTGCGGGCATTAGTAAACCATTCAAAACCATGCAAAAAGCGTGTTCGGTGTCATCCGCACCTAATATGCAAAACTGTCAGCCAATTACAGCTGTGGGCGTTTAATTCTAAATTTACAATCGGTCACTCCCACATACAGAGCAGTCTGATAATAAGGGTTAAAAATAGCACAGGAATTAAATAAATACTTTTATATTAAGATTTTTTTTAAAACATTTTTAATGACATTATACTGTAATTAACCTCAGAGAAAAGAACAAAATATAATAAAAAATACACAGCGTCTTAAATACCACACACACCACATACAGATATTACACAATAATAACTAAATCATAAAGTAAACAACTAAATTTATTTATATATACTCAAACTTTACGTAAACTCTGATGCTTGATACGATACGATGATACCGCAGCCAGAGAAAATTAAAAAATATACTTTTACATATATATCAGATTTATATAAAAAAGCACAACAAAATAATCAATTATAAGACTTAATTTCAATCACGCCAGTCTGAAATTACAAAATTAAAAAATATATATATTACAAATTCTCCAAAATGATTATATGAATATGAACTGTAGTAATAATACAGGCTAAATCACAGTTGTTATTATATAAGGTTTATGTAAAAAGCACACAAAAAAATCAAACATTACACTTAATCTCAATAACTTCAGCCTAAAATGACAAAATATAAATAAAAAGATGATATCTTCTCCAAAATAACTACAATAACAGATCACACACTTGATAGCCTGACAGCACACAGACATCCATGGTGTCTATATGTCAACAAAGGGTTTACAATTTTAGTTATTATGCTGTTAGATTAAATTTAGACAAACCTTTGATGTACAGAAGCACTGTTTTTACATGAAAGTCTATATATAAAGTGGATATAGTCTAAATCTTAATAAGAGTTTAAAGCAGACGAGTGCTATTTTGAGATCAGCAATGATCTGGTTAAACTGGTTTTGTTTGTGTGCGTTTTGCTTCTGAACATACAGAATGAGTGTAATGGTTGGTTATGATTATGGCAGATTAATTCAGAGACGTACCTGTGAGTGTTGAGTTCATCTCTCTATGCTGGTTTTGCTGGACGTTTTTAGTGTAAATCCAGAAAAACGGTGAAGTTTTCTGAGCTCGAGTTGTTGTGACACTGAAACTCCCTCTATTGTGATCTGTTCATGACAATAACATGAGTAATGCTTTGGTGTGGCTCACTTAAAGCATCCTGGCACATGTTTTATGTTTTTTTTTTTTTTTTTTTTAAGCCATATTTTTTGAAAGCATTGCTTTGTTAACCTTCATTAATGAAGTAGAAATATTCAGGGTGTAATCTAATACTATGAAATGTAATTAATTTAATTCAATTGTAAATCATTCCATCAGCTGTACTTCAATACTAAAGTTTTATGCTTAAAATTTTAACAAATGTTTTTGTTGCTTGAGTTCATCTCTTTATTAGAAAGTCACGTCTATCCACAGCTATTTTTACAGATTTCAATAAAACAAAGTTATTTTGACACTGAAACTCCCTCTATTGTCATGATTTTATTTTTTTTTTCCTTTGTAGTTCTACTATTAACATTAAGCAGCCTGATCTCAAGAGAAAGTGGCTAATTTGTACGAATTCGTACCAGTTCAGACATATGAGATTGTACGATTTTAAAAAGGAGGCGTGGCACCTAACCCCACCCCTAAACCCAACCGTCATTTGGGAAATTGTACTAAAATGTATGAATAAGATCGTACGAATTCGTACAAATTAGCCACTAAATGAAAAAGTTACGAATTGCCGTGAGAATGTAAGATAAGTGAGAGCTAAGTGGTCTTAGCTCTTATGATTACATGAAAATCATTTAGTACAATGCACTTATTGTGTACATCCATTTTCACAATATATATTTACATATTTAAATGCCTTTAATTACATCTGTAATTAATGTCTGTAGTGACATTTATAATTACACTGTTAACCCATCCCTAACTGCTTAACCCAACCTTAAAAACACCTTTACCTCCACCTTAACCTGTCTCTAGCATGCCTTAATGCTACCTCAACAGCAACTACCTCAATAGTATTATTTAAGATAAACACAATATTGTAAATTAAATTTTATTTTCATCCACTTTTCTGGGGCAGCAGTCTTAGGAGAAAACTCCAGACTTCCCTCTCCCCAGACACCTCCTCCAACTCCTCTAGGGGGATCCTGAGGCGTTCCCAGGCCTGCTGAGAAACATAGTGTTCCAGCATGTCATGGGTCTTCCCCAAGGACTCCTCCAGGTGGGACATGCCTGATACACCTCTCTAGGTAGGCAGAAACAAAATGCTCGAGCAACCTGATTTCACCCGATGTGGAGGAGCAGCGGCTCAACTCCGAGCTCCTCCCGGGTGACAGATCCCATCACTCTGTGGGTGTGCCCTGCCACCATGTGAAGGAAACTCATTTCGGCTGCTTGTATCTGAGATTTTGTCTTTTCGGTCATGACCCAAAGCTCATGACCACAGGGTATTGTAAATACATTGCATTGACATTTGCTGTAAGTAGATAAGGCTGTTTAGTGTAAATTAAACATTAAGTAGAAAATACATTTGATGGTTGTCTTAAAGTAGAGCTATTATGCCCGATTTTACATGTTTAAAAATGCATCTCTGATGCATCTCTGAAATGCATCTCTGAAAATAACACAAATAAGGCTTTACGACTCTCTGAAACAAGGCTTTGATTTAAATTGTACCTTTTGGTGACTGTCGCTTTAAATTCAAATGAGACTGCTCCTTTTAAAAGAGGGTGGAGCTACAAATGCCTGTGCATCTGCATAGTGGCAGATAGAAAACAGGACAAATGTTATCTGTGTGTCATGGTGTGCTTCATGCTTCTGCCAATCTATGTAGACTCCTGTCGCTGTTCATTTGTGCTTCATCTAAAACTCCACATCTATAATCCTCTTAGTCTATGCTGACATTATCTTCAGCAGCTCAAACACTCTAATGGCTAATGGACAGACGGCTGCTTCTCACTCAGGGCTGCTGTTTATGCTAATGAGGGAGAGATGGGCACTAGTGGGCGGGGCTTTTCCCCTTTGATGACACGTACAAAGGGTGAATGTCAATCAAAGTGTTTCTGCAGACTGACTTTATCAAGTCTGATTATATAAAATAGAATTAATTCACTTTTACCATTGGACACCACACAATTGTGTTAAAACCCATTATAAAAGTGATTTTTGCATAATAGGTGCCTTTTAGTTCATGTAGAATCCATGATTAATGAGAAAAATGAATTAAAACGTCCTATTTAAACAGCAAAACAAGCTGTAATTTCATTGACAGAACTAAATCAAGCTGAACAGGGAAACGTCTCTGAATTCTTTAGTGTGTTTCTGTTCTCCACCCTTCGGCACACGTTTAACCTGTTTGACTATTAGATCAGACGCAGTGAGCTACACCTGAAGAGTCTGTTTACTCAGGGTTCAGGAATTTCCTCTGCCGTCTTTCTATCATTGTCATCAGTTAACTGTTAGAATCCTCACATGCACAGAGAGACCTTTTATATTCAGAGGCACTGAGAGCAAATGAAAAATAGGATAAAGAATAATAATCATTTTAATGCTTTACAAACTGTTTGTGGGACAGCATGATGGCACAGTGGGTAGTGCTGTCGCCTCACAGCAAGAAGGTCGCTGGTTCGAGCCTCAGCTGATTTAGTTGGCATTTCTGTGTGGAGTTTGCAGGTTCTCCCTCTGTTGGCGTGGATTTCCTCCAGGTGAGTTTCCCTCACAAGTTCGAACACATGCGCTATAGGGGACTTGGGTAAGCTAAAAATGTCCATAGTGTATGGTTGTGTGAGTGTGTATGGATGTTTCCCAGTAATGGGTTGCGGCTGGAAGGGTATCTGCTGCATAAAACATATGCTGGATTAGATGTCAGTTCATTCCACTGTGGCATCAAAAGCTTTTATCAATAGTTTGTCAATGACATCAATGGTCTATATATAGCGCTCAGTATAAATGAACACACCCCCTTTTGAAAATTAATGTTTTTATCCATTTCTCAATGAATACAGACAACATACCTTTGTGCACTTGCGCACCAATTTTTATTTTTATTAAACACTTATATTCAATAAAATAAAAGTTTGGTCACAAAACATTTTTAAGAATAAAAAGATAATGCATTCAATTCCAACGAGTTACTGCAACAAAATAATAATAATAATAATAATTATAATTATAATAATATTACAAACTACTAAATTTAAGCAAATTTGAACATGTTTTAAGCTTTTCTTGATTTTTCATGTTTATTAAAATGTAATTTAAATATTGTCCCCAACATAATACTATGTGTGTGCTTATTAAATATTAAATACTTATTAACGTATTTTCATACGTAGGTATTTCAAGGTAATTTCAGATCAATGTTCTCTCCTGCAGCGGCAGTACACGGCCGCTAGAGCGCGCTGTCAGCATCAGTAATGACAGACAGATAGCAACACGCACCAAACAACATTTCATCGTGTTTGTGTAATAATATCACATTCATGAATGTAGATGGGTGAAAGGTAAGCCTAGTTTTGTGCATTTTAAGTTTGAGCTTGGTCATTATTTTAAAACACTGGAGGCTGTTAGATGCTAAAGAAAAAAAAAGTTTTATCCTTTTTGTTTTTATTTAGTATTTAAAGATATAGATTTGTTTCTAATGCCCCTTTGTGTGTAGTTCACTATAATAATAATATTAATAATAATAATAATAATAATAATAATGTTTCCCAGAGATAGGTTGCGGCTGGAAGGGCCTCTGCTGTGTAAAAACATGCTAGAATAAGTTGGCGGTTCATTCTGATGTGGCGACCTCGAATTAATAAAGGGACTAAGCTGAAAAGAAAATTAATGAATAATAATAATAATAATAATAATAATAATAATAATAATAATGATAATAATAATAACAAAACATCCTTGCAATAATTGTTTCACTGTTTTCATGTGAGAAAGGTTTCTACTGCTTTATTGTTTGTTTTAGTGGTAGACTGTGCAGTAAAATATCCTGCATTATTCATTAAATTTCATTTGAAATGTCACTTGACTATTGATAATATGAAAATAACTAGTATTGATATGTGCATTGTTAATATCCTACTTTATATATTAATAAGCGTTATTAATTTGCACAAGCTTTAGCCTGTGCTGTTAAATCAACCCAGGTTCATTCTGTAAACCTACCTCTATATATATTTCTGGAGAGCGCCAAATATGTCCCAGGAGGTATGTTTTATTCCAGTTTTTGTTTTGCAAATCCACCAGAGGATGCTTTTTCAGATCTCAAATTTCTCTCGCGAGTGAATCCACCAGAGGCCGCTGTCGACTGGCTGACTGACTGACCCAACCAATAGTGTTTTCAAAAGCACACATCAACCCGCCCATCCCCTTCCCCAAACCCAATCGACAGTTCAAAAATAAAACAATCCAGAAAAAGAAAATCCTGATTCTTACCATGATTTCAGATTTGGCTTCTGTTTTTGTCTTACCCACTTTCTGGAACTGTTCTTCTGACGTTCGCAGTGAGCTACTTGATTAACTGGTAACAGCAGGAAAGCCATCCATACTGAAGTAAGCAGTCAGCTGGTAAGCGAGAGAAGGAACGGCGAAAAACCACCTCGTAGTGTTCATTTCAAAAAAAAAAAAAAAAGCAACCAAACCTACCTTTGGCTACATAACTTACGATCTCCAGGAATGTATATAGGGCTACGTTTTCACAATGAGCCTATGTTGTGTTAAACATAATGAATTAATTTGACACAATACTAATGACAAAAAGACACATGTACATGATTCGGTCTTTGCATAATAGCTTATTATTGTGTTAAATATCTGTGTTATGCACAGAACATATTTGCTGACGTCTAACTGATGTTACAGTAAGCGTACACACAGAGACGCTCCCCTGATTATTCAATTGTTTTCCTGTAAACGAGCACTATTACTGTTTTTACGAGCATTATAATTAAAGGTGCTTTTAGAACCTCCAGATGGCCCGTCATAACATTCTTCTCATTCCTGCCTGTGCTTTGTATTAGAGAGCATAGGCGGTTTTATGACCACATGCATTAAATGTTTAGTTGCTGTGTCACATTGTGTTGCTAAACCACAGACATGTTATGCAAAATATGTCATTTCAATGACAACCATCCTTTATTGTGCTGAACTGCATTTTATAACTTTATCATGTGACTTTTCACTATATGATGATTTTTTTTTTGTCTCATACTGTAACAACATCAACAAAACAAAACAGTCAATAGTAACACGGTATTCAAGTTTGGGTTTGATATTCAAGTTTAGCAGGACCTGCCTTTAGTGATGGGAAAATGTTTGCTTGTTTGTTCAGTTGCTGGGAATTTCTTTTGATTGCAAACCAATATCCCATTTGCACTCGCATCATACAAAATAAACAAATATAAATTTTGACTTTTACCCATATTTTTTAAAAATAATTTCAGATATTTTTAACCCAGGATCTTTCTGAAAACGTACCTCTATTAACATTTCTGGAGAGCATCAAATATGTCTCAGGAGCTATATATTGTTTTTGTTTTCGGGACTCCACCAGAGGCCGTTGAGTATGCTTTTTCAGTTCTTAAATTTCTCTCACGAGTGCCATTTGCCCCTACTGTTTTCGCTTACATCCACCAGAGGTCGCTGATAACTGTTTGACTGACTGATTGACTGACCAATTGACTGACTCACCCTCCTCCTTCCCTAAACCTGACCAGTCATATTTTAAAAAGCACCGATTGATCCGCCCTTCCCCTTCCCTAAATCCAACCGACAAATTTAAAAAGCAATCCAGAAAAAGAAAACCCCTCGCCTGTTTTCATATTTTACCACATTCTCACCCTGTTAATTACTTGCTTATTTTATTTTTTTTATTTTTTTATTTGTCTTACCTGCTTTCTGGAACTGTTCTTCACCAGACACGAATCGCATCATCGCGGTATATTCCTCTCTGTGTTTCAAGTCCGCCGACGTACATGGTGAGCTAACTAGACAAACTGCTAACAGCGGGAAAGCCATCCATACGGAGGTAAGCAGTCAGCAGGTAAGCATGAAAAGAAATGGTCTAGAAAATGAAATGCAGCCATACGTATTTCTGGATACATAATTCACAATCTCCAAAACGTATATAGGGCTACATTTTTTAGAAAGAGCCTATGTTGGTGATTTTACAGATTACGTTTAGAAAAATAAAGTGTTAGAGTGTTACAATTGCAGCAGGGTACCCCATTACAAGTAACACAAGTTACATAATAATATTACTTCTCTAAGTAATGAATAAAGAAATGCATTACTTTAAAAAAGTATAATTTAGCTACTTTTTAAAATTGTAATGTAAGTTATTTTTTACGATAATTATAACTTTAAAAAAATAAACTGCTGGGTTAAAATTAACGTGATCATTTTATTTAATTTTTTATTTAATATTATTTATTTATTTAGTTTTTTTTTCTTTCAGAGGATATGTTTGTTTATAATTCATATATTTAATTTATTTCATTTTTAGGGGATAGTGGGAAAATAAAAAAAATACGACAATCTGTAATTTTCTTATATTGTATTGAATACTTTGATGTATTGTCTTGTTAAACACCAAAAATAAAAAAATTAACGTGATCAAACTAAATCACGTGTACAGTTCTGCAACATGGAAGCAAAGTAAAAAAAAAAAGAATTGCTTCAATGACCAAGGATTTACTTAACTAACAACACAAAAAGTACCTATCTACTAAAGTGGACAAGCATGTTTTCTAAAAAATTTATTGATGTGGTCCAAGCTAATATTTCCTTACTGTGTTGACCCCGCACCTCATGATTTCTCATCTGGATTTCAGGATTTCCCATTAATTTAAGGAAGGATTTTGATTTTGGTGGAGCTGACTGGAAATCTGTCCGACACAGTGTATTTCATTACTGAACTGTTGAAATTCATGCAAAACTATTATACATTCTTATCCCAATAGTAAATATAAATACATACATACATACATACATACATACATATATATATATATATATATATATATATATATATATATATATATATATATATATATATATATATATATATATATATATATATATATATATATATATATATATATATATATATATATATATATATATATATATATATATATATATATATATATATATTTTTTTTTTTTTTTATATATATGCCTGTATATATTTGTATACACATAAATATACATAGAATGCACAAATATATTTAGTTAATAATAACTTTTATATTTGATGTGATTAATGATTATTCAAGATGGATATCTGAAACTTTAAGAGCTTTGACTTTACGATGAAATATAACCTTAAAGTATTTACCTATATTCTTGTTTTGTGGCATTTGTTGAGTCGTATCCAAAGCCTCTGAATCATCATGAACATAAGACCGATTTTTTGATCTTACATTTTTAGATCTCCTCACAGCAGATGTTTTGTGTTCTAAAAAAGCACACGACATGCATTTTTAATTGAAAAGTAGATATATTCTTGTTCTTCTTAGCACAATGCATTTAAGATAATAAAAAAACTATACAGAAACATTGAAAATAAAAATCCTTGATTCATTATCATCATCATTAACTGCCGCTTATCTGGGGCAAGGTCACGAGGGCTGCTATATCAAGAGAAAACCTCCCTCTCCTCAAACATTTTCTCCAGCTTCTCTGGGTGGATCCTGAGGCATTCCCAGTCAAGCCGAGAGTCATTGACCCACCAACATGTCCTTGGCTTTCCACAGGGTCTTCTTCCCATGGGACAAACCTAGAACACCTCCCTAGGTAGGTGTCCGGGAGGCATCCAAAACAGATGCCAGAGCCCCTCAGCTGGCCCTCATTCCAAGCTCCTCTAAGGATACAGAGCTCCTCAACCTATCTCTAAGGGTACACCCTACCACTCTGTAAAGGAAACTCATTTTAGCCGCTTGTATCTGAGATTGTTTCCTTTTGGTCATGACCTAAGGCTCATAACCATATTTGAGAATAGGAAAATAAAAATAAATCGAAAATAAATCGAGAGCTTTCCTGAAATGAAACAGGAAATATTAATCAATTCTGCTAATTATGCATTTACACAAACAAAAATAACTTGACATATAAACTACTGTCATACAACAAAGACACAAAAATGTATTTCAAGATTATTTTAACACACTTTAATCAATAGGATATTTAAGCATTTATTGTGTGTTGATTATATACAGACTATATTAAGATTAAATGCAAGGTAAAATACTGAAAAATGTACTCACCGTATTTACTCATTTTAGTTTTTTGTTGTTTTTTTTTTGGGTTAGGTTTTGATACTCAACTAAAAAAAACAAAGTGTTAAATTGGATATATTTAATCATGTATTTGTAATAATTTGCAAGCGCACAAATCTAACGCAATACTCTCTGAGTACATTCGGATTCCACTGAACGGTTAGATGTTGTCTAGGGCTTATAAACCACACAAGCATGTTCAGAAAATTTTATTTCCTCATTCTTCACATAATTTATTTTCTATTTGTGATGACAACTAATTAAGGGTGCTCTCCAGACTGATTTACTGTCAAAAATACCCAGTCAAATTATATCAGAATGTGACTTAGGTTATTGCACTTCTTTACTAAAAAAATTAAAGACCTAACACCATGGTTAAGATTAGTGTTTACATTTGTTGGTATCTAGTACCTTTACATTTTCTCTAGATATTTAAAGATAAAACAGATATAATCTTCAAGCACTTTTTTCCATACTCTCTCTCTCTCTCTCTCTCTCTCTCTCTCTCTCTCTATATATATATATATATATATATAAAATATATATATATATATATATATATATATATATATATATATATATATATATATATATATATATATATATATATATATATATATATATATATATATATATATATATATATATATATATATATATATATATATATATATATATATATATATATATATATATATATATATATATATATATATATATATATATATATATATATATATATATATATATATATATATATATATATATATATATATATATATATATATATATATATATATATATATATATATATATATATATATATATATATATATATATATATATATATATATATATATATATATATATATATATATATATATATATATATATATATATATATATATATATATATATATATATAGCTCCAGATGTGGCTTCAGTTCTGACTAAACTAATGTATATGCACAAAGATAATATTGTTAAGCATCCTACAAAAAATATTAATTTAAATGAGATATTTGTGGGGGTTGTACTTATATATGCTGAGACCTGTAACTATTGTATGAAATATTAGTTAAAAACTTGAAAATGAAGTACCAATAAAACATTCTTACATTATATATAATATACTTCTTGTTATCATTTTAAAACTCTCACATACATTTACATG